ATGCAAGGCAAATGCCCTAAATGTTGTACTATCAATAGTTCTAGCCCCTCAATAATACCTTATAGGAGATAAAATACCTGTACAAAGAAAACAAACCCCACCCATGTATCTGTCACTGTCACTGTCACTGTCCTCCCATTGTTCATCGATTTGCTCGAGTGGGCCCAGTAACGTCTCCATTGGAGACTTTGTTGTTACTGTGTTTGGCATATCAGTACATCACGGGGAGCTTGCCAGGCTCTGCCGTGCGGGCGAGATACTCTCGGTAGCTTGCCGGGCTCTTCGAGAGGGGCGGAGGAATCGAACTCGGGTTGGCCATGTTGGCTGGCCCAGACAAGATCAGACCTGAACACCTGAAGAACTTACCATCAGTACTCATCAATACACTGGCTCGACTCTTCACACGCTACCTGTCTGAATGCAAGGTTCCATCCCAATGGAAAACCAGCAGGACTGTACTACTATACAAGAAGGGAGACATTCATGACATTGGCAACTATCGCCCAATCTGCCTATTGTCTGTCATCTACAAACTGTTCACTCGAGTCATCCTGAATAGGATTAGCAGAACACTAGATGATGGACAACCATGTGAGCAAGCCGGATTCCGAAAAGGATTCAGTACCATTGACCATATCCACACGATTAATAAGCTCATTGAGGTTTCTCAGGAGTTCAAGATGCCGCTCTGTCTAACGCTCATTGATTTAAAGAAGGCCTTTGATTCTGTTGAGATGGAAGCGATCATCGAAGCCCTAGCTAATCAGGACATTCAAACTCAATACATCAGGATCCTTCGTGAGCTCTATTATGGATTCACTACCAGGATCTCACCATTCTACAAAGAAGCAATCATCCATGTCAAGAGAGGGATTCGGCAGGGTGATACCATTTCACAAAAACTCTTCAGTGCCACCCTCGAGAACATCATGCGACGACTGGAATGGGAAGGAATGGGAGTGAAGATATATGGTTGGCAACTACACCACCTCTGCTTTGCTGATGACATCGTTCTAATAACATCAAACATCAGCCAAGCGGCACAAATGCTGACTGACTTCGACCATGAATGTGGAAAGGTCGGACTACAGCTGAATCTTATGAAGACAATGTTTATGAGAAACAGCCTTGTTCCTGACGCTCCATTCACTCTCAACGGAACCACCATCTCCGAATGCAACAGTTATATATACCTAGGTCAAGAAATCACATGATGAATGACCTGGCACCTGAGTTGCGCAGGAGGAAGAGAGTGGCTTGGAATGCCTTCAAGAGCATTGAAGAAATAACTAAGAGAACAAAGAACCTCCAGCTACGAGCACATCTCTTCGATTCCACTGTTCTTCCTGCATTAACATATGCCTCAGAGACCTGGGCCCTACGAAAACAGGATGAGAATGCTATTCGGGTCTCTCAAAGAGGAATTGAAAGAGCTGTGCTTGGAATATCACGATTCACTCAAGTGAGAGATAGAATCCGGAGTCCTGATCTCCGTCAACGCTCAAGAATCAGGGATGCCGTCTCATTTGCCAAGGCATCAAGCAATCAGATGGGCTGGACACGTAATTAGGTTTACAGACAACCGCTGGACTAGAGCCATTACTGACTGGATCCCACGGGATGTCAAAAGATCACATGGATGCCCACCTACAAGATGGTCGGACTTCTTCGTCAAGACCCTGAATGATCGGTTTGAGGCTCTGCATGTTCCTAGAACGAACAGATGCCATTGGGCTACGCTAGCATGCAACAGGGATGAATGGAGACGTTACTGGCACCCGCTCGAGTAAATCGATGAATAATGGGGAATCAAGTGATCAAGTGATCATAATCTTCCACTTTACTCAGGGTTTCTAATAGTCTTATTGGGTGGGGAGGGAAGGGGGAAATGGGGGGCTATATACAGTGGTGCTGAGGGAACCATAAGTGTTTCCTAGAGCTGAACCTGGGCCATCTGCATGTAAGGCAAACAGCTTACCCACTGTACTCTCTCTCCAGGCCCTCTAATAGTCTTATAAAAAATTCTAAGTGATAAGCAGTAAGTAGTTTTATGGAACCTAATTATAAATTTCATCTGTGTTTAAAGGATTCAAATATAACTTATTGGTAGCTGTTTTCTTTAAATCCTCTATGAATTTTGTGATCACGGTTTTAATTTTTTCTCATTATCTTTTATTATTTTGTGAATTAAAAAATTTTTTTAAAGCATCATGATTTACAAAGTTATTCATAGTTGAGTTTTAGACATACAATATTGTGGCACTGATCCCACCACCAGTGTCAGCTTCCCTTCACCAATGTTCCCAGGTTCCCTCCCATATTTCTTTCCTCCCCCAGCCTAGTTCGGTTGTTAAAGTTCAACTCTGGTCTTGTTGACTCTGCGGTTTGGACTCTGCAGTTTGGATACTTAACTGTAGCACTGTCCTCCCGTTGTTCATCGATTTGCTCGAACAGACCCAGTAACGTCTCCATTGTGAGACTTGTTGTTACTGTGTTTGGCATATCGAATATGTCACAGGTAGCTTGCCAGGCTTTGCCCTGCGGGCGAGATACTCTCAGTAGCTTGCCGGGCTCTCTGAGAGGGGCGGAGGAATCGAACCCGGCTCGGCCAGGCTGGCTGCGTGCAAGGCAAATGCCCTACCGCTGTGCTATCACTCCAGCCTATCATTCCTTTTTTTTTTCTTTTTGGGTCACACCCAGCAGTGCACAGGGGTTACTCCTGGCAGTGCTCAGGGGACCATATGGGATGCTGGGAATTGAACCCAGGTCAACCATGTGCAAGGCAAACGCCCTACCCACTGTGCTATTGCTCCAGCCCCTTAACTATCATTCCGTAACATCACCTTTGTACCTTAATCCCCTGACTTGGCTCCCATTGATTCTCATCTGTCTCTTTCCGCCCTCTGTTCCACTTTCTTTCCTTCTGCCTATATTCTGGGGCCAAGACTGATCTGGGCATCCCCCATTTTAAACATTGCACACCCAGCAACGCACAAGGGTTATTCCTAGCTCTGCACTCAGGAATTACTCCTGGCGGTGCTTGGGGAACCATATGGGATGCTGGGAATCGAACCCAGGTCAGCCACATGCAAGGTAAATGCCCTGTCCACTGTGTTATAGCTCCAGCCCCTCTAATAGTTTTTTTTTTTAACAATTTAAGGTTTCTCATATCTATAATCAGGTCACCTGTAAATAGTGATAATTTTACTTTTGAACTTTAGATTCCTTTCCTTGCTTGGTGAGGCCTTCCTACCATAATGTTGAACAACAGTAGTCATCTTGAGCGACCTTGTTTTTATTCCTGACCTTAAATCTTTTATCACTATTGAGTGTTGTTGCTTTGTTATATATAATTTTAATCATGTTAAGGTATGTTCCTCCTGTCCCTACCTTATTACAAGTTTTATCACAAATGGGGTGTTGATTCTTGTAAAATTTTTCCTGTGCTAATTGATGTACCACATAGGCAAAAAATATCTGTAACATTTATTTGTATATGCTGATCTATCTTTGCACCCTGATATATAGGCATCGCAGCCTCCACTACTGTCATCATCCCATCCACCCCTTCCATACTGAGCTTCCTACTGAAGACCAGTTCTTAGTTTGTGATAAGTTTTATGATCTTTTGATTTTTTAAATTAATGCTTGTCAACATTATTGACCCTTATTGCTTTTGGTAATACTGTTGATGACATAAAATGGATTTGGAAGCATTCTTCTTACTAAAAATTTAGAAAGTGCTTGAGAGGCCTATTTTCTTTGTTGGGTTGGTAAAACTCAGCAGTAAAGTCATATGAAACTGAACCTTTGTTTGGGAGGCTATTTCTGAATACCTGAAATCACTCTGTTCAGGTTTTCTATTTCTTTCTGACTCAGCCTTGGAGTGTTACAGAAGTCTAAGAATTTGTTCCTTTTTTTTTAGATCATCCACTGTAGTCTTATGATCTCTTGTGTCTCTGTCATATCTGAAAGATTAATTTATTTTTAAAAGATTTACATATTGTTATCTGATTTGGGGGCTCTTCTGACAGGCATGTATTATAAACTTTCCTGTCAAAATTTGAGCCCTGTAGGTTTTTGTTCAATCTCCATAGGGCAAAACCAGAATAGGGTTTCCACAATGCTGGGGGCACTGGATGTCTCCTCTTGGCTCTTTTCCTAATGGGAAAACTTGAGATTCAGCCTGAAGGTGTGGAAGAGGCCTTAACCATCAGTGGTCTCAGCTTTTTCCATTTTTCTAAGGTAGCTCTAAGTTGATGGGGCTAGAGCTACAAAGCTAGGAAAATTATTTCAATCAGTTTCACCTGATCAGGTTGGGCCTGTCCTGTGCATTACAGAATTTTAGGCAACATCCCTGGTCTCAGCCCCCTAGATGACACATCCCCATTATGAGAAGTAGATATATTTGAGGTGGGAAGAGACAATTATTGGCCTAGTGCTGGTATATGCGTGGCTGTGCAAACTGAGCTTACCAACTCTGACTGCAATTGAATGCAAAATTTATTAGCATTCTACATGCTTTGTCCTTGCCAGTCATATGGGGACCATGATAATGCAGATTATAATTTAGTTGGTTGGGATGGAACATAAAATTCTCTATTTCTAAAGTGTCCAGGTGATGCTGTGTATTCAAAAATTATGCTTTGAATAGCAGTAGTCTAAAACAGGGTTCAGTCTTGTGTGTTATTAGATCTTTTTTTTTATTGATTCACTGTGAGATACAGTTACAAAGCTTCCATGTTTGAGTTTCAGTCATACAATGATCAAACACCCATCGCTCCACCAATGTACATTTTCCACCACCAATGACTTCAGTATCTCCCCCGCCCAAATCTCACCCCTCCCCCTGCCAATATGGCAGGCAATTTCCCTCTTACTCTTTACTTTTGGGCATTATGGTTTGTAATACAGATACTGAGAGGCCATCATGTTATTAGATTTTTCTCTGTATTGATTCACCAGGAACCCTGGATTTGACAGTCATCTCTTTGTCCTAGGTTGCTGCTGCGAATCCCACTCTATTCCTTCAGCATGGTGCTAGTGGATAAGCATGGCATGGACAAAGAACGCTACGTCTCCCTGGTGACACCTGTAGCCCTCTTCAACTTGATTGACACATTCTCCCTGAGAAAAGAAGAGATGCTGCTGCAAGCTGAAATGGGTCAGACCTGTAATGCTTGAGGGGATAATTTTTCAGTAGTTCCTCTTATTTCCTACATGGTGCTATGCCCAAGGAAAGGCCTTAAAGAAGAACTCTTGATGTACAGATTTTTATTTGTAATTTTAAAAGTCTATTTTATTATGAGCTTTCTCTGCACATAAAATTTGGCACAATACTTCTCATACTTTGAAGTGCTCTAAAAGTGATACAATTGGCTCATTTTTTTACATGGCTGGTTAATTTTGTAGTTTATTAGACACTACAACTATATTCATCCTGGCAATGTGTTACTCATTGTGACACCTAACTTGTTTTATATGTAAAGCTTTTATAAATAAATTTTTTGAGCAAATATGGTTCTGATACTTGAAAGAACAGTACAGTTTTAGGAACAGAACAATTGTAATTTAGTCATGTTATGAGATGCTGAGCTGGGGAATGCTTGAAACTTGCAGGAGCTGGAATTGTTCCTTTAGGCAACAAGCCAAAAAAAAGCCTGGAATCACTGTGATTCCATAAAGAGGATAAAAAGGGGGACTAAGTACAATGGACATAGTATTTGCCTTGCATGTGGCTGACCCAGGTTCAATCCCTGGCATCCCCTATGGTCCCCTGAGCAAGAAGAGAACACTATCCCTGCAAAAATCGGGCTAAATGGGAGAAAGCACTAATTTTCACTGTTATATTTTTTCTCAAATGACTAGTATAAATAAGGTCATGTGGGTAAATGAAGACTTGAGGTGTCACCATACTACTGAGGAAGTCCCGAACTCCTTCACTTTGTTTTAAACCCTGCATCAGAGAAGGGCTCAAAGTAGAAAAGCATCAGATACTGTGTCAGCACGAATATAAGCATCCTCATGTTTCCCCCTTCTGCTTCCCTCTAAGTAGGACTCTGCAGAGAAAGCCCAAAACCTCTCCCAGAGTCTCGGGATAACAAGGTCTTGGAAAGAAGGCACTGAAACTCTCAGCATGCTGAGACATTAAGTCCCTACTGAACTTCACCAGTAGGTGTTTAGAAACTGCAACATTAAGGAAAACCATACATAATAATGAAACCAGGTTCTCTATAATTTCATTCAAGTTGGCCATAATTAGATTATAAAAGATATTTTTTAGGACTTACTGGACATAAAATATGAAACTTCACTCTTTGTGCACCAAGTCTATGAGGAAAGCAGCTAGGCCCTGTGATATCTTCTCAAGTATAGCCTTTGGAATTGTCTAAGGTCAGGCTTGGAAAGGCACATGCCATTGGTTTATAGTTTGGAATCAAACTCAACTCCCCCAGGTAAACCTCAACTTTCCCCTTTATCAGTTTGACTCTCAATCTATTCACGAACAATTTTCATTTATTTATTTGCCTTTTGGGTCACACCTGGTGATGCACAGGGGTTACTCCTGGCTCTGCTCTCAGGAACTACCCCTGGCAGTGCTCACAGGACCATATGGGATGCTGGGAATTAAACCTGGGTCAGCCGCGTACAAGGCAAACACCCCACCCACTATGCTATTGCTCCAGCTCATGAATAGTTTTAAAACTGAAAGCAGACTGATATTCTTTTATGATTATTTTTTGTTTTGCGAGGCCATACCTGGCGGTGCTCATGAGTCTTGTGCTCCGGGATCACTCCTGGTGGACTCGGGTGACAATGTGGTGCTGGGGATCGACCCAGGATTGGCTGTGTGCAAGGCAAAGTACCTTACCGGCTATATTAGTACTCCAGCTCCCAGACTGGCATTTTAAAAAGAATTAGGCAGTGGTCACTAGTCCTATGAATCAGTTCATATCCTATTTACAAATATAGGTTTTACACAGAAGACATTAGAAATTTCTCGTGGAAACCACAAAACTTTCAAAATATTGTGTGCAAATTATCACATACCAACCTACAATAGGACTGTATCTCTGACAAGTCAATCTGTGCCCCTGAGCACTATAGAGAAAAGGTCTTGAAGATGAGATGACATTTTAAGGAACTGCCCGAATTTTTTCAAACCAGTTTTCCTGATGAACTTGACATTACCCAATAAGATATGCAGACTATCTGAAAAATTTATGCACTGTTGTGGTATTTAAAATGAAACCTACATCAAAATCTATGGGCAAAGAGGAAAGTTGGGGAGAAACGCCAACTAGTCATCTGGTCACTCCAGCGAGGTTATATAGTCTAGAAGGGGCGTATAGATCTAAATAAAATTGTTATTCAGTTTTTTTACTTTGCAGGATAATACATGCACTAAAATAAAAGACTTTAGAAATATTGCTGTCGCTCACCACCAGACCACCACAGACAAGATTTATTTCCTATTCTTAGGGAGATAATTAGGCAAATATCATAGATATATCATAAATATCATTCATAATATCATAATATCATAAATATCATTCGTAGATCTTCTGTATCTCAATTTCCTTCCATTCAAAATAGTGTGTACTTTGGCATATCCTGGGGCAGCCTGTCTCTGGCCGGGGCATTTTAAAAGATTAACTGGCTCTCAGAGAACTTATTTCTTACTGCAAATTTTATGGGACTTTCCTATGTGCCTTGTAGATCTCATAGAAATAAAACTCAGCTCTGCTTGTGTGCACACAAGAGAAGACTTGGTGGTCAAGGGGATAGACAGTTAAAGTGACTGAACTGAGACTGAAAATGTTCTTTGCATATGGCAGCTGGAATCACAGTTCTTATAACCTTGCAGGGCTGGTCAGAATCTGCCCCCACTCTGGGCCTGCAGATGCATCATTCAGTCATTGAGAAATGAAGGTTGTTTACATACAGAATCTAGGTTTCCTACTCTTGTTTGTTTTTGTTTGTTTGTTTTTTGCTTTTTGGGTAACACCCAGCAATGCTCAGGGGTTACTCCTGGCTTTGCATTCAGAAATTACTCCTGGTGGTGCTTGGGGGACCATATGGGATGCCAGGGATTGAACCTGGGTTGGCCGTGTGCAAGGCAAACGCCCTACCCGCTGTGCTATCACTCCGGCCCCCACGTTCTCCTACTCTTTACCTATGCTCTTCCTGAATATTCTCAATTGTGGTAGCTTCACCTGCTCTCTCTAGTTCTTGGAGCCAGTAAGAGGACAGGCTTTCTACCTTCATTTGACAGCCTTCACATGGTGTCTGCAACCTGTTTTAAGGCAAAACCCCGAGGACTCACCAAATTTGCTCTTATAAATTACGACCGTCCAGTGTCTCCTCCTGAGCTTTGTTACACTTCAGTGCATCCAGGTAGTTTATATTTTATTCAGGTATTATTGTCTGCAGGAAGCTGGTCCAGTGGGTTCTGTTTGGGTATTATCTAAAGACTAGCAAAGGGTGAACCAGAAAGTAAAAGAGCCCAGGCCATTCCCAGAAAAAGGCCTAATATCCCCTGGAAAGATTGCAAAGCTCTTGGGGTTCAGCTTAATTAATGGGGTGAGCAATGAACAATAAAAATCATTTGAAGTGCATTAGTTAAATGTACTTCAGTATCAATTTATATGTTGCATGTTTAATAAATTAAATTATAAATTAATTTATATTTAAAAAAAACCACACAACCATTATTTCTTACATTAAAACTTATATCATGCCTGGGGAGGGAAAAGTAGAGATAACATGGAGGCATATATCATTGGCCCAGGTGAAGACTGAAGAAGGAATGGGGTGCTCCACGCTGACTGGACGCTAGCAGTAAGGACATCAAGAGAACACACACTAGTCTGCCCTTGGTGATTCCACTAGAGGGTGTTCAATAGGGGAGAGAGAAGGAGAGGGAGATAGAGAGAGATATCCTGCCATAGAGACAGGCTGGGGGGTATGAAGGTGGCAGGAGGGAAACTGGAGATATAGGAAATGTACACTAGTGGAGGGATGGGTGCTGGAAGACTGTATGTTTGAAACCTGACCATGAACAGCTTTGTAACTGTCTCACGGTGATTCAATCTTTAATTAAAAAAACATCCCAGCAGTTAACTACAAAGTCATCCAAGATCACAGCTGTAGCACTGGCCTATAGCACTGTCCTCCCTTTGTTCATCAATTTGCTTGAGCGAGCACCAGTAACTTCTCCATCGTGAGACTTGTTACTGTTTTTGGCATATTGAATACGCCATGCGGAGCTTACCAGGCTCTGCCGTGCGGACGGGATACTCTCGGTAGCTTGCCAGGTTCTTCTAAAGGGACAGAGGAATTGAACCCAGGTCAGCCATGTGCAAGGCAAACGCCCTACCACTGTGCTATCGCTCCAGCCCAAGATCACAGCTATCCCCTGCACATATCTCCCTACCCCACTAACAGCAGCAGCTACTTACTTGTCTAAGGCTTCCAATAGTAACAAAAATTGAAACATCCATAGTTCCATATTCTGAAAAATTAAATACAAGCACTAAGTCTTAAGTTGCTGCTCCAGATCCAAAATGGACAATCAGAAAAATACACAAAGGAATTCGAGACCTCAAGAAGAATATGGCATTGAAAGAAGAAAATAACACATCTCCAGAAATAAAACTCATAGACATGGAAGACTATATTTTTCTAACAGGAATATATAATGCATCCATATTGGTAGCGATTGCTTTGGAGTTAGCTCATGAGAAATGGAATGACTAACATTTGCAAAGTTTGGCCTTGGTGTAACAACCAGAAGTGCTCGGTCAGATCATGGCCTGCTGCGATTACCCCTCGCAGGACTGAGAACATCTGTGTACTTAAGAAGAATCAGTGTTGATTCTGATTTTGGCAGTTCGTTCTGAACAACGGTCTGTTGCACCACTGCAATGTCTGTCACTGAGATAGCTGCACCGTGAATGCTAATCTCTCACCCGCTCTTTCATTCACCAGGAATATAGAGCCAGCCCGCCTACTTCATTGGTCCTAAAACCCCACATTTTCTGTCACATTTTAACATCTCTGAAGCAGCATCTCACAATTACATTAAAAAAAATTTCAAAATCCTTGTGCAAAACAGATGGCAGTCTCAACTGGGAATTGAAAAGGATGTAATGAAAGACTTATTTATAATGGCGTGCACATGGTAAAGGAACCTCAATTAGGGAGACAGAAACAATGCAGAATTAGCAGCACCTGTGGACAGTTACCACCCCAGGCCTGGAAGGCAAACGAAGACAAAGATAACTACAACCCAAAGAGAACTATAGCATAGTGTTTGGCTCTGTAGTCTTGAGGGTTACTTACTTTGACTACAGTTTTAAAAAACTATTTTGGCTCCAGAAGTTTTTGTTGTTGTTGTTAATCCAGTATATGGTAGAGTAACAAAGTCTTTTATTCGTTTATTTTATTTTAATGGATTACTGTGAGATACAGTTACAGACTTAACTTTCATGATTACATTTCAGTCATACAATGATCGAGTACCCATCCCTCC